GGGGGGGGCAAATCAGATATTTTATATAAATTGGACAGTAGTGATGCAAGGATTTTCTTGCAGCAAATAGAGAAGTTCTTGTTTTCTTACTAGAGACCTAAACTTTGAAAAAAAAAAGTTTTTTGTTTTAACTACTCCAGCTTAGACTACAACTTTTGAGCACTTCTGATTGAGAAGAGGTAGGTACATTTTGCAAGGTAAGTGACTGAGAATTTATGTAATACTTCTAGTCAACAAGTTACTGTCATGTAATATTCATGATGACAACTGCAAAAACAATTCTTACCCTTAGTAATAGAATTACAATTTTAAACAATTATTATTGTTGAATACCTGTAAATGTGCTCATAGATCAATACATTGTTCTTCATTGGCATTGTTGCAAAAGCCACAATCTTTCCACTATAGCCATCACATGCACTGACCTCAGTAAACCATACATTGTCAGTTTCTCATTTTGGTCCATGTGCAACTTGTGACCAATATAGTCAGCATGGTAAGGAAAGGGATTGGTTTGCCTGGCAGTGTTGGAATTCCTCTGGACTTGGTACAGAGGAGACACAACTGACAAAGCTCTTCCAATGCGCTTGTCACCCGCTGTTGTACAACAACTGGCCATATATCCTTTCACCATTTTTCTACCCCAGGTGGGTCCAACCTTGAATAATAATACATCAATGATTAATAATGTATGTATCCTATGGGTGTTGCATCAGTCTGCCAGGTGAGTATTTACATCTTCCAGAAAATAACCAACGTTTGACTTTTTGAGTAGCAAATAAAACGGTAGGTTTTTCACAAACAACACAAACAGTTCATGGATACTAACCCGAGCAACAACTTCCTTGGTGCACTGTTCCAATTCATCATTTGACAGGCGATTTTGCGCGTGTATCCCATTCTTTAAACAAAACCTTCGAACTGACCTCAAACTGAGTCCTCTCCTATCAGGATACGCTTCTTTTAGCAACGAACTGCCTTTAGAGTGTGTTTTCCGCTGAGTCACAACAAGATCTTTTACGTACTCGACGCTTACGTCGTCCATAGTGGTGGAGACTGCTCAAGACTGTTAAATTTTCCGCTTCCTTCCTGAAAACTCTTTCCCAAGGTCTTTCCGGCATTCAAGATGGCAGACACAAGGCCGCTAGGGACTGGGGAACAGGACGAAGCGTTTCCTCCCCCAGCTCCCCCTGGGGTACTTTTGTCGCTAGGAGAGCGCAACGTCTTTGCTCAAAAACAAAAATTGAAAATTGATTTCAATTTTCCATTTTCCATTTTTAGACTTCCATCGAAAACAGAAAAACTAAGCTATGCCACAGACTGCAACATTGTCGAAGAAACAAAATTGCCGCTTAGTTCCATTTTTCTCCTCATTGTTGACAGGACTAAAATAGAAATATAAGTTCTGTTTCAATGTTCTACCGGAAGGAAAATAGTCAAACATTTTCTATTTGGCGCTATCTTATTTTTTATGATAAAAAGTCATGAAAATCAAAAATTGCCGTCAATTTTCAATTTTTGACTTTAAAAGAAAATTGAATGGACGAATGACCCACGGACCCATGTAAACAGTATCGTTGTGACATTAATGCTGCTGATGCACTAGACCCCAAATCCAAAAGTACAAACCCCCCTTTTCTCTATTTCATTGTTCTTCTGGGGTGGAGGATGTGTGTATTGCATCCCTTCCTCCTCATAATGGCTACCCCTTGACAATACCAGTTAAGCCTGTCCCAAGCGGCAGCTTCGGAGGGAAGGTTCAGCTATGTGTGTTTGTGGTGCTCTAGTATTCTCTTTACAAGAATTGCATGGTGCAAGTGATGACTCCAGAATAGGGACATAAGAAAGTCACTTTGTGACTTGATTAGAAAACCTGAAGCACTGAAGCCATTAGTACATATGGTCAAGAAATTCAAGTTGGGCATTTTGGTGACTTTCACTATTTTTGCATTTTTACAGGAACTGCACATCAACATGGAAAGCAGCACTCATCCAGTCACCCACTCACCCAGGCAAGTTTCAAGGGTGAGCATAAATTGTACATTTTGGGAGTATGTGACTGTATTGTGGTCGTTGACAGGTTTCTTGCTTTTGTTAAAACGTGTGTGGCCAATGATGTATTATATATTTGCTACTCTTGAACATTATTAATGATGATAAGTATATCACCACATTGTCTGAGGCCACATTATTGACACTAAGGTATAAGCATCTTGTGTGAGGGATTTCGCAGATATCAACTAACAGTTGACTTGCAATAGCACTGTGATCAACTTGTACAAATCTGATTGGATTCCAGTTAGATCAGAGAGAGAGCCAATGAGTTAACAGTGAAACAACAATGTGAAACTCTTGCTGACTTGGTTGAATTGACTTTAGCAAACTCCCATTAAGACAATACAGTCGTCGTTTGTTATTTTTCCCAATATTGATGAGCCGTGTTATCTTGCAGGTGTAAATAATTTGCATGTAATCCTATGTGTTTGCCAATTGTTAATCAGGTAATTAACATCTTACATGTTATAAAATATTGTTCGTCTAGTGGGAATAAAATGTAGCGATGAGTCAATTTAGTAAAGCTGTAAGCTTTTGTATCTTCAAATTGCTGATAAGTAACATATCAAACTTGAAAGACTATGTTTGAACACATTTCAAAACACTGACAAGAGAGTTGAAAATACAATGTATAGGGGTGTAGTTTTGACTAAATTTGAGGTATTTAGAAATGTGGTCAAACACATGGTTGAGTGTTTGATATATTATTTCCGCCATCAAAACTAAAACATACTGAGAAAATGGGAAAATAAAATCGTAAAGATCTATGCTAATTAAGATCAGATATCCAAACACTCTCACAGTCACGATTTCCTTAGTTTAAACTTGATGAATTAAAATAATGTACTGATGAGTTTGAGAATTATTCTAAATCATAGATGTCACCTGTCATGTTCACTGTACATTTGAAAGCCAGTAATGATTTAACATATTCAGTCATAATCCAGTGAGTAATTTGACAAATTCAATCACGACAAATTCAATCATGAGGCTTTCACTTGACCATTTACCATTGCCATTAAACTTCAAGCAATGTATCTGTACTGACGTGTTATGATCTTTTTACTATTGTTTTGTTTCCTCTCAAGTTCATGTAGCGATCTATAGCAACAACTTCACAAGTTTAACTTGAAAGTGATGAATTGTAAAAATTGAAACTTGAATGAGCTGAATAATAAAAATATATGCTAAGTAATATTAAAAAGACTCTTGTGATTGCTGAATATCCATTAGTTAATTGAAGTGTAAGGCAATAATAGCAACCCCTTTTATTTCTGGTTAAACACATCAACAATATAGTTGGGGGTCATAGGCTGCTTGTAAGGTTGGTGGAGCCAAGCCCTAGGACATCCCTGTGAGTGGCACCTACCAGGCACCATCACACTGAAATCCTTCTCCCTGCATGCTAAGCTTCCCTATAGGCAAAGCATTCAGAAGTAATGTAACTGTGCAGCTGTCACACAAGCAAAATGGTTTTCCTACATGTAGTTGGTAATAATTAGAACAAATGTAGAAGGCCACTTTTTATCTTGGATGTTATTTTTTATTGTCTTTACAAACATTACTAACAGTTAATTTTGCCTTAAGAAAACTAAATGACGATTTAGAAGGCACTGAATAACAATGAGGGCTAACCTAGGATCATAAAAAATATACGTTTTGAAACAAGCAGAAGTCTGGAATAGCTAGTAGTAATAGTGATAGATATGATGTAGGAGTAAATATACAATTAAAAACAAGCCATAAGTCTGGAATAGCTCATAATAATAGTGATAAGATATGCACTGAATAATTTTATTTAAAAATGTTTAATGCAGCTACAATGATGTGGGCCATTATTATATCCTATAACTGACATACTCCAAAATGTAGTATTAAACTCGCAACAAAGCAAGATACTGATAGTCTTTGTAAATGATGGTGCCTTGCCTCGATTAACCAATGTTGAGGAAAACAATTGCCAGTAGTGTTATGCTTGGAAAACACATCCTGGAACTGAAATGTTTGAAATATTTTTTGGAAATCTCTAGAAAAATGCTGAGTCCTTTCAATGGTAAAATAGTTTAAAAGCTACATCTGCAGAGCGAAGAGTAATGTGTTGCGATTTATAAGCTAAAAAAGCTGCTAGTATTTAGTATAATAGTCTGATTAAAATAGTGCTAATGTAATATTTAGTATAGTTTGTATTTATGAATTACAGTAGGATTACATGTATTGACTGCCATATGGAGTAATGAAACTCTATATACAGGTAATTGCAAAGGTCATTGGTTTGAATACCATTTGCAACTGCTTTATAACTGCGAACCACTTTTTTAGTGATTGCTATTCTTCCATTGGTTTGAATCCATTCAAAGAAGCCTTGCATGTAATTGTATGGGCCTTCTCTGCATAAAGTGCTTTCACTTCAGTGACATTAAAGCTTGTAACTGCTGCTGTCCATATAAATTCACATGTGATGATTTATCTTCTGTAAATCATTAGATGCAATAAGTTTGTTCAGGCACAATTATTCTTGCCATGCCCCCAGTGGCTGCACCCTGCAAGCAGTTGCAGAGACCAACTGCTGCAAGGAGCTTACTTTTTTTGATACCCCGTATCACGATGGTCATCAAAGGTTTCTTTACAACCACTTACATTAAGTCGCTTTAGACAACTTCATTCCCTGCAGTTCACAATATTGATGTTTTTTTTATTCTGTCTCTGCGGACATGTACCTCCTATTTCAGAACATTTGCAGTGGAACTAACCTAGGAGGTTGATGGCATGAGATAGGTTTCGTCCCAGCTGAAGTGCTATTTTTCTGGGCTTCATCCTGGGATTCTGTAACCAGGTGTTCTTTGACCAACTGCTTTTGCTGTGTAACCATCAACTTTCTGTTGAAAGATTTATGTCACCAACTTGAACTTCATTGCCTCAGGTTGTTGCCTACTGAACCACATCACTGTGAACTGGTACAAAGTATTTTGCCCAAGGCCAATTGCAGATGACATGTGCCACATCATATCTATCACAAATAATAAGGGCTTGAACAAACTCTCTCATAGTGGGTTCCTTCTCACGATTTTTTAATAGTTCGAGCAGGCTTTCTGTAGGACTTCTCCTTGCTATATACTCAGTTTCTATCATGTTCAAATCATCAGAGCTGACTTGAAACACTTGTCCAATGCTGCGCCATGTTTTTCGATTTGAAGTCCCAAGTGGATCAAGCTTTTTTTGAATGTAGAATAACATCAAATAACCTTCATCGTCACGCAACTGTTCCATCTCAGAGATGCGACAATCTGAAAATTGTTTTGATGAGTTAATTATCATGAATTTCTCAAACATTTCCCGCACCTTTGAATCCCCCACCTCTAAAATAAAATTCAACTTGTAGTACCAGAAAATCATGCTGTATGCGTGTATATCTGACAAAGTTTGATCATTTTACCTGTTGGAATTTCTGCTGGATTTGGCTTGCAAACTTCCTTGCCACACTCTTCCTGCTCTTCAGTTGTCACGTTGTTATCTGCCCAAGACAATGGAGGGACTTCAGTTAATATGTCTGCAAAAGACAGATTATGAAAGCTACTATGTTGAAAACTCATATATTATTAATATTTTTGATAAACAAAATGAAATGTCTCTCCGGCCCCTCCAGCAGACGTGCATGATTGAATGTTGTAAAAAAAAAAAAATAAACAATGTTTTGTACATCTTTACTACTAACAACAATTATTTAAAATTAGTTTATTTTTAATGATGATAATAAGTTAAGTTAATCATAAATTTTGGAGATCAACATGTATCAAGGCATGGTCACCTGCAAAATAACACTGATTCAACAATGTAGTACAGTTGAATCCCGCTGATCCGAACTGGGATTATTTCAAATTCCCAGTTATTTTGAACTCTGGACCATTTCCCTTGGATTTGCCTTTCAGTCGTACTATCTGCTCTTTCAAACTCCCGCTGTATATTTCAAACTATTTTTTCATTTTCCCTGTGAGTTCCAAATAGCAGGGTTCAACTGTAATTCATTGTTGATTAAATGGTAATTAAAAGCAGATTTGTGGCTAGGACTCAAGAGAGGGTAACTAGAGCTACCTAAAATTTGCAGGTTCAAGTTAACTGGCCTGCAAATAATAGTCTCCTCCCAGTCTCAATGGTCCTGGACACTACAGTGTTTGTGAGAGATCATCTCGGCCATAATTGTGCTGAACGCTCAAAGTATAAGAGATCGTTTTTGTTTACTCTATCATTGCAGCTCTGTTTAGTTTTATTATCGTTTCATTGTTCATGCCCTTTAATCATTAATCAGAGCGTTTTATATCATGTGATTTAGCTATCAATTTACTTTAAAAGCCAGTCGCTTACATAACCCACGCAGTCATCTCAGTATCGGGGTCATCCGAGTGTTTAGGAGTCAGGAGTTTGAGTTATTTTCTTGGAGTCTATGTGTTTACCTCGCTAACGCAGGATCAGACGTGAGTTTCTATTGTACATATTGATCGCTTTTTTGCTTTTTATGATTTCTATTTTCGCTTGTTATTTATTTAGGTTCGTTTCTGATTATGCAATCAAATTTGCCTTGTAGTTTTCACCGCACGTGTACGATAGCTGATTCATTAAAGTAATTTAAAAATCAAGTTTTGTACGCTGTGGTTGACGCTTACCGTTCCCCATGTACTTGGGTACGCGACAATAATCTATTGTTTTATACAGTCAAACTCAGACTGTTTTACAGGCACTGCTTCACATCTGTAAACACATCTTTTAGCTCTTATTAACAGAGCAGGAGGTCTGTATGGGAGAATCTTGGCCGAGGTCATGTCAGTCTCCCATACAGACCGATTAAGTTTGGTTAATAAGATGGTTATTAAATGGCACAAACAAGAACAAATGAATTTAATTCGTTTAATGAAACTGATTTGTACTAACTGGCATTTTGCTTGCGAACGGTGAAGAGCTGAATTAAATTCTGCCAAGTTTGCTCTTCCTCTGTACTGTCATCAGGCTTTTTGGCAAAAATAAATAAATATTGTTAGATGAAAATAGTCAATGATATTGCATTTTAGTTTGCAACTTTTTCACTGCAAAACATTACCAGTCTACATGCCGGTCTTGGCGGGAAAATCTAGACCACTTTCAATATCGATTTCAGCCAATCAAATTTGTGAATTTGGTAGTTCCCAGTCCTTGTGAGACAGAGCCATATGATATTGTTACAGACATCACTTATAGGATTAACACTGGTGGTCTGACTGTGTGTTCTGATTAACTAATACCTTGAGGAGATGCTCGGCCCGAATCTGTGTGTCCACAGATGGAGTTCAGTGGTATCAATTCACCATTATCTGTACAAAAAGAAAAAAAATGTCTTTTCAAAAGCTAGTCACATTATCAACTTCAGCACTAGCAAGTATTTTTTTTTTCAGTTCTTATTTAAATGAGTTAATTCAGTTGAAAAATTATTTTGTAAATATCTTTGGCTTAGTTTATCTTAGATAATTTTTATTCCCTTATGTTTCAGATGACAATTATTGCGAGACAGTAAATAATTGAATGGGTAGAAGCATTGAATAATTAAACCAAAGTTAGCAAAAAACTGTCCAACTTGATCGTGAAGGTCATAGAATTGTATCATTTGGTGATGTAAGTAGATTTACAATGTTCAAGTAAAGCCTACATCAGTTTCTATATTTCATTGTCAGTTTTATTCTCACCTGCCAGGTTTCTTTGGGTTGTTCTTGAAAACTGGCAAAACTGGTGTACACGTTTTGAGGTCATTAGGGCCAATGTTGAGATGATGAAGATAATAATTACTACTCCTAAAACAACTCTTAAGGATACAGCTCCATGTTCTTCTTTCTCCTCATCTTTGTTTGTTGATTGGGCTGCATTTGCAGAATTATCACTTTCAGCTAACACTGTCAAATTTCCTGTCCCTTGAATTGTTGTATGTGTACTTCCATCACCTGATAAAATTTGTGACCTAGTAAGGTTATTGCCAGGTTCATGTGGCAAGGTAGTTGCAAATTTGTCATGAACTTGGGTTTTAACATGTTTCTCAGTCATGGTATTATGATTAGGAGGGACAGTTGGTTCTGTGTCAGTTGGTTTAGGTGTCACTTTTTTAAAGGCTAGCTGATCCTTACAGTACCGATTTTGCTCAGTTTTTTCACACTGCCAGTCCCTGCTCATTCCAATGTCTTTGCACCCTTGACGTCTCTGGGCTTCACTGACACTGTCACAACAAAAATAGCATTCCTGGCAGATATGATTGTCATCCAGGAAATATCCTTGGGGACACTTTGTTCCACATTTGCGATTTTTGTCTGGTGTGCAGTGCTGAATTACATTCTTTAAACCACATTCATGGCAAGCCTTGCAACTTTCTATGCCATGGCTGTTGGAATATGTCACATTTGCCTGGCATTGTAAACATTCTATTTTGGTGTCATTTCGAACCATGCTACCACACTGTGGGGTCAATCCTTGACCTTCGGGACACTCAGGACATATTCTGCATATAGTCTTAGCTGGATCAATGGGGTCATAGAGTTCAATTTCTGATGTCTGTGAGCAACCTGGTAGGGGCTTTGCTACGGCAGATAATATCATCCATGGTAGCACTTGTAGCAGCACAAGGATTTCCTGAGAAGGAGAACAGTTGGAGAATTAATATTTATACAATAAGTAACTGAAATACATTAACGTGCAGCTCCCTCCAGTTAATTAGACCAGTAAGCACAGTAACAGATAATACATGTACATCTCTTTCCCTGGGGCCAGGCAAAGTCAATCAATAAATTGACAATCAAAATCAATTAATAACAGTGAATATTCATCATATTAATGTGAATCTAGACATAGAAAACTGTTTGATCTACTTGGGGCCAGGCTAGGGCCAGTCAGTCTAGTCATAATTGTGAAACTTTGCAGCATGCAAGTCACAAGACTTGTTGAATACCAATGAGATCCCAGTAATTCACTAGGTATTACCTAATCTGCGATATGTATTGTCTGACTATAGTAAGCCGTGTACATTAAAGACATTGCAGCAAAAAAGAAAAAAGTTGTGAGACAGATGTTATCCATTGCTGATGGTAGGCGATAAGGATTGATTTATCAATTGGTATCTATTGTTATCGAAAATTGTTTTTGTACTTTTACAAGTCACACTAATAAAATGATTGACAAAATTTGTCTGTGGTCATTTTATCTTCAAAGCCTGTGTATCTTTTACAAAATCATCAATCATCAAAAAAATTACAAGAACAGAAACAACTAACAGAAACATATTGGGTTTTACAACTTTCTTAGCTAGTTTAGGACACCAGAAGAAGCTCAGGCTAGAGTAGCAGTGTAAAACTCTTCAGTCTCATTGTAGCATCGGCATTTAGATGAAGCAGAATAAACAAGAGAATCACTGTTCTAGTGATTTCAATTATTCCAGGCATAGACAATCGAAAAAAACTGGTATCGGAAATCAATTGATTCAATCGATATCAATCAATATCAATCGCCAATTTCTATCGATTGATATTGGCAATCGATAACAATCGATAACTTACAGGAAAATTTCTTTATCTGAACTGGCAAAAATCGATAGCAATCGATAATTCCTGTCTTCAGGAATATCGATTGTTATCGCTTAAAAAAAATCGACAATAACCACCCAGACTGTTCAAAGATGGCTTTGTTGTTGTGTAAAATAATACCTGGGACAACACGAGACATCCATCTTCAGGCGCATGCTACTAGATTATGTTTTCCTTTTGGCCTACTCCAAGTTCTATACTTAGTTTATTTCCTAATGCAAATAATTGCATTCAGTAGAACACTAACTCTGTTGTTCATTCCGATGCTACAATGAGACTGGAGGGTTTTACGCTGCTAATCTGACCTGAATTTCTTCCAGTGTTATAAACTAGCAAAGAAAGATTTAAAGCCCAAAATGTTTCTGTTGCTTCTGTTCTTGTTATTTCGTCGATGATTGTTTAAGATATACAGGCTATGGTTTATAAATGACTCAATAAAACCATTACAGGCAATTTTTGTCAAACATTTTATCAGGTGTAACTTGTAAAAAGACAAAACTAATTTCTGATAACAATTGATAATCGATCAATCAATCACTAATGATTACTATCGGCAATCGTTAAAAATCAATAACTCATAACTTTTTTCTTCATCGATTTTCATTGATTGTTATTGATTAATATTGATTATTGGTTTATCGATTGACTATGCCTGGATTATTTTCCTTTTTTTTTCAGTCAATGTATAACAATTGATATTCCTGAATGCAGGAATTATCAATTGTCAGCGATTTCATAGCAATCAATAATTTTTTTCTGTGAGTTCGATTGTTATCGATTGCAGATGTCAATCAATAGCAATCGGCGATTGCTACCGATTTTTATCGATTGACTTATACGCCTGGGATTTTGTGAGAAAGATTAGAATTAGCGTAGCATGATAATATTTACGTTCCCCAATTTCAGAGATTCTACTTTCGCGAGAAAGGTGGAACTGTAAAGTTTGACACCCGCGGCCGCAAACATATGTAAACATGTTAAAAAGCTACAAGTTCGAAAAGACGATAAGCCCCAAATTTACAAATTCTGTTAATCGTGTACTGTAATTGTTTTCCAGTGTCGAGCGATAATTTTGATGTTTTGACCGAACAATAACGTTTGAGGGTAAAACACGTAGATTAATCTTACCTTGGCGAGGATCTTCATGTCTTGTTTTACAGCCTGTTCTGAGTACGTTTGCCTTCAACCTGTATCACACTGACCCCTGGTGGCTGTATAAAAAACATGTTAAAAGTTAGTTTGAATACTGAAAAGCAACCAACAGAAAATACCAGATCAAATAACAACAAAATTTCAAATAAGGCATCGACAACGTGATCGGATTTTACTCTGTATCAAATATACCTGGGGTAGAGAGATGCCAACTCAGCAATAAACTCCGTAGAAACACCTAGCACCTTGTAAATTCTGCGTTCAGAGCAAAATTCAACTTTGGAGCTTACTAATTCCACTGATTTCTCGGAAGTAGGTATTTTAGTCGATTACTTCAGTATTTGAACGCAATTTCCCGACGGAGTCGAGTTCAACGCCTGACGAAAATGATGGTGCAACATTTCTGCGACACTATTATGACGTTCTGTGGAATTTATTGATCACGTGGCTGTATAGATTCGGAGATTCCCCTATTTGCATGCATCATCGGTTGACGAATCTTATTACAGGTCTAAAATATTAATGAAATTTACCAAATAATGAGAAATGACCGTTTACGCTTTCAGACGTTGACCACTAAATAATGAAATGTAGAAAGTTGTGTTGTCTCGACGAACATTATCGAGGTGACGTCATGATGATATATCGCTGAATTACGTCAAAGATGGTAAAAGCAGCTTGGATCATCGTCTTCTGAGAAAGCTTATGCAAATTTTTCTTGACAAAGATAAGACAATCGAGAATCGTCAACGAATTTTTTTTGAAATAGCGTAATACGATCGACACATGAATTTAAGTGAAATTTTAGGAAGTTTAAAGAGGGATTAAAAGGATAAAAAGGGGTTTGGAACACCACCAGACAGTTGATTTCCCCCAGAAGGGCACCCCGGGTTGGTGGGCAACTGTTTGGTGTACGTCTACCAATTTCGACGCTTGCATCTGTAATCTTGATCTAACGATCCCTTCCAGTTTCTTAGTCTTTCGACGCTTTATCTATAGATAACAGTGGCGGATCCAGACCTTGAGCTGATGGGGAGGAGCGGGGGGGTGGTGTTTTCTTTCTTCTTTTTTTTTTTTTTGCATGCCCTGCCGGCTTTTCTTCCTTTTGCGATATTTGTTTACCCAAAATAATAGGGATCCGGGGCCTCTCCTAGGTCCGCTGCTGGATAAAACCTCCTAAATTGCGGTAAATAGGCCTGAAGTAAAAATCTCACGAGTAAGAGTGTATATGACACAGAGGAGTAAGCTTATTGGTGCACTGGAAGCCCAAGCACGGAATATACTGAGATTACGCAACAGTCGAAATTTAAGAATTTGTATGAGAAAAACAATTCCATTCTTGAGACTAAAAAAATATATGAATGTGTATTGCGTAAAACTAAACTTACCTCTCTTCAGATGCGGATTTCCATCTTACTCATGAGATTTTTAATTCCGGTCTATTTACCGCAATTTAGGTGGTTTTATCCAGCAGCGGATCTAGCAGAGGCCCGGGGGACCCGGGCCCCATTATTTTGGGTAAACAAATATCGCAAAAGGAAGAAAAGCCGGCAGGGCATNATATATCCTTTCCTGGAGGAAAAAGAAGTGGTACCAGGAGTGGAACTAAAACCGCCTAAGGAGTACACCCTTTGAATTTTGAGAGAGAGATGGATGATTATGGAAAATATCCTGCAGGCATACTTACATGTATACCATATGACCGGATCGTGTAAAGGGCCTATTCCATAGAGTGAGTAGAAAGTTCTGGTTACATATATTGCGTGCACGACAAAGAATACTAGAAATTTCCAGAAACTTACAACAATCAAGTCTCGTTATAGCAGACACCCTCGGGACCGTCACTCGTTGTCCGTAATAGACAGACTCCGCAATAGCTGAGTGTGAGGAAAATGACCCTAGCTGAAGTGTCGCATATAACGTATATTGCTATAATCTGCAGAGTTTCAAGTCATTCTTTCAGTTATTTACAGAACACATTTACTTTGATCAGAAGCATATCACCTAGGTGATATGCTTCTGCTTTGATGCATAATCATACAATACAGATCAAATAGTGTAAAAGCTAGTAATTATGTCACCAAACAGATTTTAAGACTGTCTCGTACAAGGAATCAGATTAAGCTAGTGCAGGAATTCTTTAGTATCGTTCGGAGACTACAATAGCTGTGTACGTCTATTACATTGGAGGTTTAATTTTAATAGTTAATCAAATATGCAGAAACTTGCGCCCGGATTTTCGGAGCGCTGTTCGTAAGGAAAGAGGAAGAAAAATTCTAACTGTCCGGCGCATTGAAAGAGCTTTCTAAAGAGATCTTTTTCGCTTTAGTCGCTTTCAATACTTTTCCAGAAACAACTTTAGAGCGGTTTAGAATGCAGTTGTTGTCAGCAGCCATGGCGCCTCGTGTGAATCAGTCATGCAGAGAATAAAATGACAAGACTTATTTTCCAACGAAACTTGGGATAAATACAAAGAAGACAACTTTCCTGTAGTTCTTTTTACTTGTGCGAAATTTTGTATTCTAACAAGTAACTTCAGTAAATGCATTTCAAACGATTAAATAAACGGACGCATATCAAGACGTCAACTTTTCCTAACTTGCTATCGAAAGAAAATTAAGTTTTAAGAAGAGGAAGGCACTGATTTTAAACGAACTGAGAGTAAAGAACTTAGAAGGTGTTGAAAACATGGAGGAAAGCTAGGTTTTAATAACATGCCGAAAATATATCAGTATGCAAGTGCTATTTTCAAAACTTTAAGGTGGCTCTGAACCCTATGTACAGATTTTTTAAAACTTTGCCAGAAGTTGCGTCTTATCATGCTCATTAATTAAAAAAAAGTAAAAAAAATTTCACCGTGCCGTTTTTGAATCATAAGCCTCTAAAGTTGTAATTAAGGGTTTTTTAGCAGGTCATACTATTACTATGATAATCTTTTGTGTCACGAAAATGATAACAACGTGTCACCAACGACTGGGCAGTTTTTTGTGGTGAGTGGTAATAATGACTTATCAAAATCTAACTGCTGGAAACTGCTTTGAGCCACCTTAAACTCGTTCTGCAATCAAGAAAAGTTTACTACAAAATTACAATCATATGCTAGCGAATGGCGCGAGTGTCGTCATATGATATCCCAAGCTATTCCAAAATATGCTTTTACAATTATTCCAAGTTTTCAAAATAATTTTGTCATTCAATACGAGAGTAGACAACAAAAAGTTTAGTTGGGACAATATAAAGTGTCCACAATTCCGTAAAAGCGGGAGTCCGTTATAGGGCTAGTGCTTTTAAAACACTTCCTTGTAGTTTCGACTCAAGAGATGTAGCTACAATCTGTAGTGGCAAGAAAGGCGTCCGTAATAAACTTAAGATAGAATGATTGACTGACCGACCAGTGAGATACCCGGGGGGTACTCTCATAATAGAAGGGTGGTGGCGTGCAGCCCCCTTCCCAAAACCCTCACCCTATTTATGACCAAAATCTGTGATTTTCCCTACCCTATTTAAGACCTGGCCCTATTTATGATCGTTGCGACTGGTACAGTTGCCCTAAACATAAGTTATGAAGGGCTTTGGTTGATGGTCTTATTGATAATGATGAAAAAGTAGTTTTTTTCAAGAAACATACCCAATTCAAGACTTAAGCGCTAAAACCATACCCTATTTAAGGTCAAATTGGTTAAAATCGATACCCCATTTATGACCAAAACGGCTGAAAAACACTACCCTTTGGGGCCGCACATACCTATATAGCCCATATGAGGGAGTACTCCCCGGGGTGAGATACACAGAACTAAGCTAAAGCAGTACTACCTGTAATCCCTCTGTCACACTCTGAGCCGCGCTCACTAACCCAAATGTATATTCGTTCAGCGACATCTTTCCGGGCCATGTCCTGACTGGTGAAGTTTACGGAGAGTTGGCCGGCAGTCAAGCAGCAACCCCTCTTTAGGACTTGGTTTGTATTTCAAATAGTGAATATATCTCTGGTCTTTCTCAAATATCCGTGCTAAGGATCGATAGTCCCCACCACTTTTTCTCCGCGTGTCCAGATCTATCTTGAGCTCCTTTAATAATGATTGAAAGTTAGGTATATTCTGCACCTGTTGATCCTATTTGCAGTCATGTCCTTTGGATTCTGTATACAAAAAATCGGCAATTGAAAAAACCAAGGGAAATATTTATTTACATCCAAAATACACCCATATGATAAATATAAACACCGAACATCCCAGAGGAGAACCTCAACTTTTCCCCTCCCCCGCCCCTACCTTGACAAACAAACAGATTATCCAGTATCGACCAACGTAAAATATATGAATTTTACGTATAGTTCTCAACGAAAGGATTTGAATCTGAGACGTTACGAGTTAAATCTAGCTTATGACCTTGCAAATATACAGTCTCGGTTAAACTGTAGAGTTCGACACCCGCGGCCGCAGAAAAGTAAACATTTTAAAAAGCTACGTGTTCGAAAAGACGATAAGCCCCAAATTTACAAATTCTGTCAATCGTGTATTGTTACTCTTTTCTAGTGTTGAGCGATGATTTCGATGTTTTGACCGAACAATAACGTTTGAGGGTAAAACACGTAGATTGATCTTACCTCGGCGAGGATCTTCATGTCTTGTTCTACAGCCTGTTCTGAATACGTTTATCTTCAACCTGTATCACACTGACCCCTGGTGGCTGTATGAAAAGCATGTTAAAAGTTAGTTTGAATACTGTAAAGCAACCAACAGAAAGTACCAGTATCAAATAACAGCAAAATTTCAAATATGGCATCGACAACGTGATTGGATTTGTTATTCTGTATCAAATATACCTGAAGTACAGAGAGATGCCAACTCAGCAATAAACTTCGTAGAAACACCTAGCACCTTGTAAATTCTGCGTTCAGAGCAAAATTCAACTTGGGGCTTGCTCATTCCACTGATTTCTCGGAGGTAGGTATTACTGTCGATTAATTCAGTATTTGGACGCAGTATTCCGACGGAGTCGAGTTAAACGGCTGACGAAAATGATGGTGCAACATTTCTGCGACGCTTTTATGAGGCTTATTGATCACGTGGTTGTATACTAGTACATTCGGGGATTCCCCTTTTTGCAGGCACGAGAGAACCTCGAGTCTTCGTTCCTTACTGCCCGACCGCTGGTCAAAGGGAACGAAGACGCTGGGTACGAGGGTGCATGCATCCTCGGTCGACGAATCTTATTACAGATCTAAAATATTAATGAATCTTAACAAATGATGGGAAATGATCCTTTACGCTTTCAGACTTTGACCACTAAATAATGAAATGTAGAAAGCTGTGTTGTCTCCACGAACGTAATCGAGGTGACGTCATGATGGTATGTTGCTGAATTACCTCAAAGATGGTCAAAGCAGCTTAGATCATCGTAGCTTAATAAGAAATAACGCGCAAACTACGGTGATAAACATGGCAATAAAACGCATGTTTATCACCGCAGTTTGCGTGTTATTTCTTATTGAGCTACGATGGCCAAAGAAAAAGAATATTTAGATCATCGTCTTTTGAGAAAGCTTATGCAAATTTTTCTTGACAAAGCTTATGCAAATGTTTCTTGTCAAAAACAAGACGATCCAGAATCGTCGACGAATTTTTTTGAGATAACGTAATACGCTCGACTAGGAAATTACCCTCCACCCCCTCCTAAGCAGGCGCTGTGTGGGAGACAGAATGACGAGCCTTGCAAGCGACCCGTTTTTCGAATTTCGTGAAAAATTATATGCATCCAGGATAAAAAAAAAAA